GAATCTTTAGGCATTTGGCTGTTAACATTTTCTTATATTCTTTTTCTTGGGAAGGGCAGTTTCATGTATGCAGCCTTTTGATTTCTACTCAGCCACATTAAGATTGGGTTTTGGGCTTGGAACACTTCCTTACCAAGAGATAAAGAGCTCACACAGCCTATACCAGGCTTATCACTTTGTGTGGGAAGATCTTTCCCTTTTTCAGGCCCAAAGAATGCTCTTTTGCCTTTGCTTGAAGCATGTGCATCACATGGCTCCTGGCCAACCCCACTGTTATCTGTCTTCCAAGAGGAGGGGACAGGGTCTTTCTCCTGTGGTACAAGAAGGATGCATGAAGGCAAATTGCCCTACATTGGCCACCAGGAGAGACTTGCTGGCCATGGGACCATATGCACTATTGTAGCTGACCTTACCCTATCTCTTCTCTATATAAGTAAAGCCTTATTCCACCAGTGCTGGACTGCATTGTGTTCCTCTCGTAACGGTGATACAGAGATGCAATGGGAAGAGTGTTTGCAGTCCTCCTCTAGGGTTGGTAACCAGTTCACAGTACTCTATTCTCTTTGGATTGATAACCAGTACACAGTAATCTTCCCTGACAATTTTAATGTCTGTAGGATCTGTAATGATAACCCCTCTTTCATTCTTTCTATGTACTTGGAATTATCACTTTCTGTGCACTTTCTGTGTACTTATTTTCTAGATCCTTAAAGTGGAATTTTAAGTCATAGATTTAGACATTTTTACTTTTCTAAAATAAATATTTAGACAAATTTCTAAGTGATTTTTTTGTTGTATCCCACAAAATTTGACACATTGGTTTTCTTTATCTTCAATTTGAAATGTTTCCAAATTACCATTATTTGTTCTTTGATGCATACACAATCTAGAATCACGTTGCTTTACTTCCAAATATTTGGAAATTTCCTAAATAGCTTATTATTATTGATTTCTAATGTGATCCCTTTGTGGTGAGAAACATACTTTGAAAAATTTAAATATTTTAAAGTACATGAATAATTGTTTTATGGCCTAGCATGTGATCTATTTTGGTGAGGGTATCATATGTACTTAAAAAGGCTGTGCATTTTGCAGCTATTTTGTGCTGTGTTCCATAAATATCAATTTGGCCAATGTGGTGATAATGTTGTTTATATCATCCTATGTCTTTATTAATTTTTGTCAGATTGTTCTACCAATTGCTGAGAGAGTGATATAAAAATCTTCTACTATGATTGTGGAATTGTCTATTTCTCCTTTTAATTCAGTCAGTTAATATGTGAATATGTTAGTGATTTTTATGTTATTTTTAGCAAATGATCCCTATTTTCCTTATGCAACATTCCACTCTCTATCTGGTAATACTCTACTTTATCTGAAACTAATATTGCCACTCCAGCTTTCTTACTCTTGATATTTTCATAGTTTATGTTTTTCTAGCCATTTACTTTCATTCCCTCTGTGTCTATCTTAAAAATGCTTTGCTTATAATTTTTGGTCTAGTTAATTTTACCAAGCCAATTTTTTCCTGGCTTTGATACGTCACAATTATGCATGATGTCACCATTGCAGTAGGCTGAGTGATGGATACACAACACCTCTCTGTACCATTTCTGCAACTTATTGTGGGTTTATAATTATTGCAAAAGAAGAAAATCACTTGGAGAAATGGTTTCTTCATAGACAACACATAGTTTTGTCTTCTTGTTTGATCCATCTGATTATCTCTGGTTTTTAATGAGATGTTAGGTCCATTAACATTTTTACGTAATTGATGATTTGGTTAGATTTTAATCTATCTAATTTTTTTTGGTGTGTTTGTTCTTTCTGATTTTAATCCTCTGTTCCCTCTTTCTCGCCTACTTCAGATTATTTGAATATTTGCGACAAGAATTCCATCATGATTTATGTATTCCCTTCATAGCTATCACTTTTTGCATTATAATTAGTGGCTTCACTGGGAATATCAATATATATATATATTATTACATCTGTTTTAAACAGAAGGGCATTCTCTTCTGCTTTTTTTTTTTTTAAGATTGGCACCTGAGCTAACAACTGTTGCCAATCTTTTTTTTGTTTTTTCTGCTTTATCTCCCCAAATCCCCCCGGTACATAGTTATATATCTTAGTTGCAGGTCCTTCTAGTTGTGGCGTGTGGGATGCCATCTTAATGTGGTCTGACGAGCAGTGCCACGTCCGTACCCAGGATCCAAACCGGCGAAACCCTGGGCCGCCGCAGCGAAGCGTGCGGACTTAATCACTCGGCCACGGAGCCAGCCCCTCAATGTATATTCTAAACCTTTTATACCTACTTAGAGTTGATATTAATGTACTTTGCTTAAAATATGGAAATCTCATAACTGCATAGATAGTTGTATTTCTCCTCACTCTCATTGTCCTGATACAATTTTGTTGGTGTTTATTACATTTACCTACATTATAAGCCTGCAATGCAATGTTACAGTTTTTGCTTTAAAAATAAACAAAAATTTCAATTAAATTAAAAGACAAAGTATTTTTTATATTTACTCAGATATTTATCAATTCCGATGTTTTACATTCTACTTGAAAATCTGTGTCCTTTGGGTACTTCCCTTCAGCCTGAAGAATTTCCTTGAACAGTTGTTACATGGAATCTCTGCTAGACAAAGTTCTCTTAGTTTTCTTCGATCTGAAAATGTCTTCATTTCATCTCCTTTCTGAAGGAGATTTCTCCTGCATGTTGAATTTTGGCTAGCAGCTTTTTTCTGTGTGTTGCTGTTATTCTCCTTGTTTTCCCTCGGCACTTTAGAGGCACTGTTCAGCATCATCTGACCTCTAGTTTCTGATGAGAAATCAGTAGTGACTCAATTGTTTCCCCAAAAAGAATGTTACTTTTCTCTGGATGCTTTCAAGACTTTCTCCCTTTGTCAGATTTCAGAAATTTGACTACGATGTACCTAAGCATGGTATTTATGCTTCTCAGTGTTTGCTGAGCTTCCTAGTTTTTTAAATTTGTGTCTTTCACCAAATTTGAGAGTTTTGAGCCATTATTTTCTTGAACTACTTTTTACCCCATTATGTTTCTCTCTCTCCTCAATCTGGGACTCCAATTACCTCTCTAAAACAGCTTTTGACAGTGTCCCACAGGCCCTTGAAGTCCTGTTGTTTTCAATCTTTTTTCCTCTCTGATCTTCAGATTCCATATTTTTTATGAATTCACTGACTCTTTACCCTGTCATATTCACTGCTCTACCAAATCTATTCACATAAGTTTTTTTCAGATATCATATTTTTTAGTTTCAAAATTTCTTTACATTTTTAGATTTTTAACGTTATTTCCCATTTAAAAAAAATTATTCCAAGTGTATTACCTTTACCATTTGGAGCATGTTAACATGTACTGAAGTCCTTGTCTGTTTATTTCACCATCTAAGCTATGTTGTGGGCGCTGTGAATGTTATGTCGAGGAGAATCTGTATACTCTAAGGTCTCTGAAGAATTTACCTTGGCCGTGAGGAACAGCAGCTCAAGTCTCAGTATAGTTTTGTTTTGCTTTTTCCCTTAACTGAGCCGCTCTGAGTTTGCCCTGTGCTTGTGTGGTTCAGGGGTTAGCAGGAGTCATGGCAGAGATTACACATAGAACCTTGCCTCCTCTTCTCTGGCTCTTTCTTTTCCGGAATTTTCCAGCAACTGTGGCCACCAGAGTTCTGTCCTTGTGTCCTAGATTTAGCAAGATGGTAGATTCTTCCTTCTTTTTTTTTATGAAGATTAGCCCTGAGCTAACATCTATTGTCAATCTTACTGTACTTTTTTTTCACTTGAGGAAGATTAGCCCTGAGCTAATATCTATGCCAATCTTCCTCTAATTTATATGTCAGTTGTTGCCATATCGTGGCTGACAAGTGGTGTAGTTTACTGCCCAGCATCTGAACCTATGAACCTGGATGGCCGAAGTGGAATGTGCCAAACTTTAACCAGTATGCCATGGGGCCAGTCCCTCTTTCTTTTAACTTTTTTCCAAAATATGCCTGTCTTTGTTTCAACTTTTATATCCTTCTGGCATTTTTTTATCCCCAGTTTTACTTGTTATCCTGGGAGTGTTCATCTGTTAGGAGCTCGCTTTACTTTACTAGATATGGAAGTCCTCACTTGATTTTTAATCTTCCAGATATCTCCTCTACTTAAAACACTTCAATGACTTTCCTTTGATTTTGGAATAAAATTCAAATTTCTTAGTAACACATAAATACATAGAGTAGTTCCAAAACATATTTTTTGAATGAATACTGTTCCCATATAATATGAAATATGGTCATATTTAATAATGCTGTTATTGTCTTTAATAATAATACCTCACATGTGTATAAGCTGTGAGCATTTAATGAAAACTTCCATATTAATTGGTTGACTATTTATGAATTTCTCTAACTGGACAGCTATAAATTAATACATCAAACAGTCACATATATTTTGAATATCTCTTGTTACAAAGCACTGTTGTAAGAGTTAATGGAACGAAAAGAACGAGAGGAAAGTTCTTTTCCTCTATGGAGCTTGCAGTCTAATTGGAGAGATAAAATGTCTTCATATAGTATAATTTTTAAAAGCCAGTTATACAGGCTCCAATTAATACCTTCTGAATGAAGAGAGTAAGTTGGATCTCAAATCATAGACATGAAGAAAAGTAATGGTGATTATAAATCTTATAGAATTGTGGTACTTGAGATGAGGCTTGAAGGGAAAACAGAAGTCTAGGCAGAGATGTGGGATAGAGTATTCCAGGTGGGAAGACAGGGTTCTTGCCCTACTCTCCCATGAATGTGATTTAGGTAAAATCTGGTCTAGCAGCCCACATATTATTCAATAGAGCATGGAAAATTGCTTATTCTTAATGAATATTACAAACCAAAGTTGGCTTCCAGCTCTTTCAGAGCTGTAGAACTTGTTTTAATCAACTTCCCTTGATAAGGGAGCTGGATTCCAGCTCCTGCACCTCCTTCACCCTCTCTCCACTGATGCCTGGAGCCATGAGAATCTTTTTCTTAATTTTTGCTGCCCTCATTCTTGCTCAAATATTCTCAGGTAAGCGGGAAATCCTTTTAGATGTATGAACGGCAATCTGTTTGGGATCTGTCTTGAGAAGAAAACCCAGCTTTTAGAAAAGTGCATGACTCATCCTTGTATCCTAAAAAGGTCCCAGGACAAACCAGTTCCCGGAAGATTTTCCTGAGCTTAGACACGAAACAATGGGACCTCTGTGATCCAGACCATCTCCAACCAGAGGAGTCTCTGTTTAATTTCCTTAAGAGCTGTGCCAAGGGTCCCGACTTCTCTTTACACTTAGATCTCTTTCCTTCTTCTGTAATCTTCACCCCAGCTTGGGCCCATGCCAAAATGAGACAAAATCCATGAGGCAAACTTCAAACACACTTGTTAATTTAGAAAACTATAGCCTTTGTAGGCTAAATTAGGCTAACCTTATGATAACAGGTTCTTAACAATCTATTTTTTCATGTCTCACTAACTGATCCAAATCTCCTAACCGTAGATTATTTTGGATTTTCTGGCTTTCACATACTGATGGAAATTTACGTCATTTAAGCCACTAACATCCTGATTAGTTAGCTTGAAGTCTGAAATGATCTCTCTCTTCTCGATACAGCCAAGACTCTATCCCTATGAAATCTTTATGTCTGTCTGTCCTCAACTAACCTTCAGTCCTTGTTATGAAGCCTTTCATGATGGGGTTCTCCATATGCCATGAAGCACCCTGTCTCTTTCTTCTTCACAGTTCCTGAATTTCTACACTTATTACACAATTTGGCCTCAGAAGCCTAGCAAACCAACAGATACAGAATGTGTGCTTACCACTTATGAGAAATTGTTCTGGGCACTATAATAAAAGTAGGTAAAATGGAGGTAAAAATATAACCTCCATATAAGAGAAAGCATGATCTTTGCTCTTAGCTTGCTTGAAGTTTAGTAGTCTATTATTTCTGTGTTGATCAAAAATAGGTGTGATTCTAAATAGTTATTCAATAAATTTGAAATGCATAAAGTGCATGGATGAGACAGGAAGATGCACAAATTACTATAATACAAAACAGTTTTCATACATGCCATAAAACATGCAAAGCACAAAGAGAAGCCATAGAAGTAGAACCTTGGTTCTAACAGGGGAATCCAGAGAGCCTTCCCGGGGAGGTGGTATTTGCATTGTAACTCTGAGAACAGATAGGAGTATAGGTAAAGAATAGAGCCAAGAAGAATGCCCCCATGTTCAAAAGTCTCACTTGTAAAATCAGCTCCTTAACTCCTGCCCTCAATCTCCTTCCGTAGAGGTCAGACCACAGATCCAGGGGAGGGAAACAAATTGTAAGCTGCCCTCTCCATCTCCTTTCATGAGGAATTCTGTCCTGAAACTCAGCTCAGACACGTTTGACTCCCAACAATAGGCACAGTATGGGCACAAATTAGGACCACCAGCACCACAACCATCACATTGAATCTCAGAGTTGGAAGTGAGTTTAATGATCAATAATGAGGTAATTAAGAGACTATTATAACAAAATATTTGAGATTGGACCTCAGTTCCAATCCTCATAAGCTGTATGAACAGTGCACTTTGATTTCTTTTCTACGAATGGTGATAATGATGGGGTGGTTTTGCAGATTAAGACATTCATTATATTTATTAGAGTAGAAGCTAACTTCTTTTTTCTTTTTTTAAAGACTGGAGCCTGAGCTAACATCTGTTGCCAATCTTATCGTCGTTTTTTCTTCTTCTTTTTCTCCCAAAAGCCCCCCAGTGCATAGTTGTATAGAGGCTAACTTCTCTTAATAATGAAGCTTTATAGAGTGACTGGAAAAACATAATTTATTTTTCTCTCACACAAAAGACCAAAAACAGATAAGTTTACTGGGTTGAGTAGAAGCATCTTCTCCATCAAGTCATGTTGGCACTAAGTTGGAGGTCAACCTTGTCATCTTAAACCTGTTGACTGTTTTATCTGTTTCCAAAGATTCTCTAACAGGAAGGGCTGAAAAGTAAGTAAAGGACAGGGTCTAAAATATTACATAGAAGCAGCTCACATCATTCCACTCCTATTTCCTGGATCCACACTTAGATTCATGTGGCCATACAGAAATAGAGAGCCAGGAACTGATATCTTTAGCTAAGTACCCATGTGTCCACTAGAATCCAGAGGTTCTATTACTAAAAGTCTGAAGGGAAAAATAACTGCTTGGGGACAGTTTAGCAATCTTTCTATTGACATGAACTGTTTAAACAGTGCTGGGGATATACTCTGTGCTGTGATAGAGTTAACTATTATTATTGTTCTTACTGTCTGCCTCAATTCAATATTTAAACACCTTGTATATTTTCCACATCAATTGATAGCCCGATGCCTGATAAATTTCAGTGATCTGTAACACACACTATCCCAATTTCAACTTTGGACAATTTAAACATTTTCCCTTACTTTGAGCAGAAATCTAAGTTTTTCTAATTTCTTTCCAATAGTCTGAGTCCTCACTTGGCATTAGCAAGCCCAATATCTCTTCACTGTGGAAATACGTCAGATATATGACAAATAATCTATATTCTTTTTCCTCCAAAGTTGTTCTCTCCCTTTGAGAGTAACTGCCAGTTCTTTGACTATTTCTTGTGAGAATACATACCACCATTTTTTTCAGTCATTCCCTTTTGAAGTAGTCTTACACTCTTCAGCTTAATTGCTTTGTTCTGGGTAAACACACACTGTCTATGGCACTCTAAGTTTGCTTGCTAGAGCCAAAGACACTATTCCACTGATGATCATCACAGAGCAGACTAGTACCGTGTTTCTTTTATCTTTGTACCTAAAACTGTGAAACTCCATGATCACATGCCAAGGCATATGGTCTATCATGGATCTGCCCACAGGGCAAATGGCACAGTCTTTACCTTTTGTTGTATATCAAAGATCCTTAATTTGGAGACATGAAAAAAATCATTTACTGGAAAGGATTGTTTATTGGAATTGGAAAGTATATTGTCTCCTTCCCAGGAAGAAATGTTATGTTTCTATATATCGTAGAAATGCCTTTGGCAGAGAGAAGTCTTTTTTGTTTTTCGTAATTGAATATCAAATAATGACACGGCAGATACTGCACCAGGGAACTGAGCTCAGACGCAGCTGTTTAGGTAACATCTGCTTTTTCTCTACTCTAGATTTACGCTCTGTGTCTCCAGGAGATTTGGTAATGGGAAATTCTGAATTTGGCCTGGGCAATGTAATTTTGCCTCCAGTAATTAATTACTGGATAACTGAGGTCCGATTGCTCTCTTCACACAGTCAGAGGAGGAGTTGGAAGGCAACTACGTTGTCTGAAATTGGACGGTCGCTGTGAAGTCGAATGCCTTTCCTTCGAAGTTCAGATTGGGGGCTGCAGAGCTGAACTGACACCACTTTGCTGCAAAAAGAGGAAAAATCACTAAAAGCTAAGCAGCAGCTACAAAAGTGAGAGAGGTGAAGATGCTCCGGCTGTGACCTCAGTGCAGCAAACCTCTCTGCTTCTTCCCTCCTGATGTCCAAATTGCGGATGCCCTGAAGCTGTCAGTCCCGTTCTGACACTACCCTCTCTGGGCTGTGAGCTTCTAGAGGGAAGGAACTGTGCCTTGTTCACTTTGACTTCCCAGTTCTGGGTATAGGACCTATTCATTATTTTATTGATTGATAAAGTAAGTGAATAAATGGATAAAAAGGTAGCATGGAAAGGTTGGACTGTGACTCAGGTGAACTGAGTTCTAGAGGCAGAAGTCTGGCTTCAAACAGATCTGGGCCTTCTGTGCCAAGATCCTGACATGTAATATGAGGAGATTCAACTACAGAGTAACAGGATCACCTGCTAGACACTAATTGTGGCCACCTTAGCAGAACCACTGGCACACACTCCTCTTCTCTCTCCTTTATAGGTAGGAATTGTTTAGAATGTCTTCCACTCCCTGTCTGACCTAGAATATCAAATTCCTCAAAGAAGCTGACACATCTCAAAATTCAAGCTGGCCATGGATTGAGTAGCATCTTCATCCTGGCCACTTGCACTGAGAACTCATAAAATCACAGCCCATTCAATCATGAGATCCCTAAAGATAATCTAATTCCACACCCTCTTTATAGGAAAAAGGTATGGGCCCAAGAAGATCACATGATTACTGGCTTGCTTACACCTAGATTCAGATTTCTGGCTTTTGGATCTTATGTTTTTAGCACATCCTCAAAACCTGTAGTGGTTGATGCCAGAATAAACAAAGACCAACCCTAAAGATGGAGCATGGAACATTTTGTAGCAGCTCAAGTGAGCAGTTCAAGGGAGGAAGAAGTTGAAACCAGCTGCAAAAGAACTGAACACTTTCCACAGTCCTTCTCGTGACCCTGGGATCTTTGTTCTTTCAGAGCAATGGCAGTGGTAAACTGAGACGTGGCTTTGACTTAATTTGATTAAATTTGGAGTCCCCGCTTTCAGGCAGAGCAACATATATTTCATAGGCCATTTTCATCTTAGAAGGTTTGCAGCACACACCTCCAGAACAGAAGAAACAAAATCCCTCGTGTCTGCTCTAGAGAATTTCCTTATCTGTTCAGTTAAGTTTCCGTCCTGTAGAGATGTGGATAAAAGATAACAAAATAGAACCAAATTTCCAGAACAAGACAATTTGTAAAAGGATTTCAAATAAGAAATAAAATGTCTTTTTAAAAAATGTTCAGGTATTGCTTTTTATCTTTTTGGTGCTAAACTTTTTATTCTGAAAAGGATTCAAGAGGCACATGGGTAGATGATGTTATTCTTGCATTCAGAGGAATTTTCTCAGGTTCTGTGCTTTCCCCGGGAATTGCTTATCAACTGTCTCAGATAAAACACTGCTTTTGAGAATCTAAATGTATTTAGGATTTCTCCTTTCCCCTTTTCTCTCTTTCATTATCAAATGACTTGAAATGTTGTATCTATTTTCTGTCCCCACTGTTTTCATATCCTATTTGCTTCTCAACCTATAGAAATGTCTTCTGCCTTCTTCATATCACTGGAATTTCTCTTAGTAAGGAGACCAGCGACCTCTTAGATACTTCTTACTTGCTGTTCTCTTAATGAAGACGTCAGGCTGAACCCAATGATCTATGGCCAGTATTCATCCTCCTGGCCCTTTCTGAAATATTTCACAATGTGATCCACCCTGCACTTCGTTTCTCTCTCCTTTGCCCAAGAGGACGTGGGTCTCTGTCTAGTTTTCTTCCTCTTCTTCACTCATTCTTGTTCTCTTTTGCCTGGATTCCAATCACCACTGTTTCATCCATCTTCTTGTTACAGTTATTTAGTAATCTCACCCACTCCTCGGGTTTCAGCTCTCGTCTGTTGACATGGCACTACCGATTTTCCAGCTTTTCGGGGCCCCGAGCCCCACTTCAGTACTCTCCTCTGTGATAGCATGCGGAGACTCTGCAAACTGCATCTGCCAGACTCCTTGGCTAGTTAGCTTCCTGTTAGTGCCTTTAATGAAAGGCGTTAGCAGTAGATTGGAAAATAAGAAAAGGAGTCAAGGCAGTTGTTCCCATTTCCAATTCAGGTCACCACACTCCAGCAGCATCAGGTGGTTGGCTCCAGGCTGCAGCCTCTTCTGACTTTCTCAGCAGCCTCATAAGGACACCTCACAGGAACCAGCAGCATCCAGGCTCTATCCCCTTGGTAGTCAGATGACCAGATAAGCTATGGTCTGATTTATTGTGCACCTGGTTATCCACACTCCTGTTTGGCCCATGTCTCCACTTCAGAAGTCTGAATACCAGCTGCAGGATGCCTCTGCCTCATTTGTCTGAGCCCCAGTCTTAGAGTACTCCTTCCTTAAAATTTCAAGCATGATTCATGTAGTTCATCCAACTCAGAGGTCTGAGCAGCAGCTATACTGTGTCCCATCCTTATAGGCCCAGCCTCGAGCTGTATGTGGCTGACCCCAGAATTTCAAGCAGTACCTCCTGGTAGCACCTTTTCCCTTTTGGGCCTGGAGATGACAATTCTGTCCTATAGTTATTGATCTCTGTGCCCTCTCAACCTTCCAGCACCTGTGTAACCAATCCTTGCATTACATTCCCTTTGTTTCAAATACCCAGTGTGGTTTCTGTTTACCTGAATGGGGCACGTCTGATAAAAACTCTACACTATGTTTCCTACTCTAACTTCTTCCTAAAGTTTATGAGGCTACTGTTCTTCTCTAAATGGATTCCTGATAGGCATTTCAAAAGTAACTTGTCTTCATTGGAATTTATAACTTTGTTTCCAAAATTGGTCTTCATTTAATATATAGATCTTAATAAATATTGTTCTCATTTACTCAGACACTCAGGTTAAAAATGCTTTACTCGAGAATGCTTACTTTCACTCATAAATCTACATAAATTGCTCACTAATATCTGAAAATTGTATTGTTGTTTTTTCCTCTCCTCTCTCTCTTCGCTAACACTGGTCTAGTTCAGGGCCTCATCATCTAGTTTAGCCTCTGCTGTTGCTCTGTCAAACTAGTTCGTCCACAGTGCTAATTACCCAAGGTTTACTTGTAATTCTGGGAAGAACTTTCATGGAATAAGGAATAGTTCCATCGTTTCATGTTGCATGTGTGCACATTCATGCACACATGTATACACACACATACATACACACCATAGGAGTTGTTCAACCACAGAATCTAAGCATAATATTCATACTCAGATTTATAGGAATGCTTAGAATGCTAAAATATTAGAGCTAGGAATAGGCTTGGAGGTAATCTAAGTCAATGTTTCCAGAAGAAAATCGATTACACACTCCTAGAATATTTCCAAAATTCAGTGCTTTGTGCCAGACTCTAAGATTTTCACATTGGAAACTAGTAAGCTAAGAATCTGAATTTTTAAAACAACTTTTCCAATGAAGTCTCCTAAATATTACTGTTTGAGAACTATTGATCATTAAACAGAGCAACATCTGACATTCAAAGATGACCATTGTTCTGTGTCCCACACTTTCAGTTAGTAGCAGAGATCAAGATTCAGAACTGAAATTCAGAATTCTTGCTTTTTGGGTACCACGGTATTTCACTAACTTCCATTTTTCCATTTGAAGGGCAGATCTTGAGAGGAAATGAACAAGTGGCTCTCTTTCTTGCTCAACTCAAGGAATAGAAGCTTAACCTTCAGAGGGGAAGACAGCTGCACGTCCAGCAAGCTAACACACAATGTAGGAAGCTCCACAACCTGACTGGAGACCTGTGGGCGTTCAGAGCAGGAGTAGGGGTAATTGACTATGACTGGAGTTACTGGAGTCTGGAGTGAGTTCACAGACAAAATTCCCTGTCACTGTTTAAACCAGTTCGTCTATCAACCTCGCCTACGTCACTTTAAATGAAACTAAAGGGTTGTTGTGGGTAAACGTCCATTCTATTGCCAATATATTGGTAGCTTATGTTCCCATTTGATAACGATTTCCATTCAAACTGCTCACTTCCATTATTTTGGGGAACTTAGCATCCAAAATAACAAGGACTCTCCGTCTTCCCTTGCAGGCCATTCTGTTCATGGGTCACTTCTGTCCCTGGATATCCTTCTTAAGGTATTAAAATGTCATCATTAGCCAAACAAAGACACTACACTGGCCCTAGTGAGCTGCTGACTGAAATGAAGCCATCTGCTGCCTGTCTTTACAGACACCTTCAACCATGAGAACTACTGTCATTCTCCTTTGCCATTTTATTCATTTATGAACCAAGTTTCACCAGGTAGTAAACAAACTTACATAAGCTTTGGTAAGTTTAGAGAACCTGAGAGCATGAGAGACTCCTACACACAAGACAAAGTCCCTAGTACCTATACACTGAGAAGGGACCCCAGGGGAATGTCAATTATTGAGAGAACTGCAGTCACCTGACCTCTGAATGATCTCTTCTGATTGTGTGAACTACATACCAGGTCAGGTAAAGAATGACTTAGATGAAGTGCAGTCAGAGGCTTTCCAGGTGTCTGGAACCATCTCTGCTTCATCACTGAAACTGAACAGGTCCTGGGTAACAGAAAATGAGACATCTTCTTACTAATTCTTTCTCTCCAAAACTCCCCTGCTTATGTTCCCCAAGAGTTAGTGACTCTACGATACCTGCAAGAGAGAGCCATGACAAAGTTCTGTGGACCCAGGCAAAGGGAAGTGATAGGGACTTACCAGGAAGGATGACTATGCGTCTAAGAAAGCTAACCCAATTCTGTTGATGTTTGGTGCTTGACCCTGTCCCATGGCTTCATTCCAACTCCTGACTCCCTCTGTTTTCTTTCAACCCCTGGTCTTTTCAAATAGAGCCTATACACAGAGACTCCAGCTGACTTCAAAACTGAGTGTGAACTTCTACATTCAGGCTTGGAACAGGGAGTAGAGTATAAACCATCCTACTCAGAAACACCTTTCAGCAGCTTGAATCACACT